TCGGTAAAGTTTCAATTGGCAGCCTAAAGGAGTAAAGAGAGAATGGACAGAAAAGAGAGATCTCGAAAGGCTTTGATTCCTTCCATTTCATGGGCACCGAAGGCAATACCAACTCCACTTTTGATTTGGCTCTAACCTAAAACCCTCTCATTAAAAACAAAAAAATAATAAGACTTATTATTACATAAGCAATAGCAACCATCGTCATCATTTATCATCTTTTCTTTTTAAAGAAGGTCAAACTACCCTATGGTAAGTGATTGGGCAGGCAGCAATGCCAAAATCTGATTATCACAAGTAATTCGGTAGTGACAAAATATCTTGTCTATATAGGAGGCAGATAATTAAGCATTCATAATGTCTAAGTGAGGCTTAGGAAAAATAAAAATAGGCACTATCAATTGGTGTGAGGCGAGATTAATCAAAGTGAGTCACGCTTAATTGCACTAGTAGATCGATGATTAAAATAATTGTAGCTTATCTTCCCAAAAAAAGATGTCATCTCTACCTGTCCTATATTCAACGCTTCTTTCACTCATTCCTCGATTTGAAATTACAATTCCAACTGATGACTTATTTTTATTATTGTTGAGAATTAGCTCAGTTATTAACATTTGAAATTGAAAAAGCGTGTGTAAAACTATTTTTTCTACTAAAAATCGTTACTTTTGCTAAAAACGCCGCCTAGCGTCGCCAAGGCAGATCTCAGGCGTGGTAGGCGCTAGGCAATGGCCCAACGTCTGTCTAGCACCCAACGCAGGGGCGGAGCCAAGATTTGGCGGTCGGGGGGGGGGGGGTGGATTTCTTACTCTATAATCGCGAGAAGATGTTAAAATTAATTAAAATAATCAGGGAAAACATATTTGTTATATTATTATAACTACACTTTTTTAAGATGGTTAAAATAACTCCAAATAAGATCTAAAGTTCAAATTTCTAACATGATAGGTTCATTATATATTAAAATAAAAAATCAATTAAAATGTAATTCAATGTAGTGTAAGTGTGTAAAACATTTCATTTTCATTCAAAATAAGATCTACACTAATACCATGACATGTTTAATATAAAAAATTAGAAACAAACTAACAAATTAATAATGCATTTCAAGTCAATATTATGTAACTCATTCTAATTTCATAATTTAAAAATAAATAACTAATAACTCGGTTTAATATCTCAAATTTCTAATTTCATAATTTCAAAATAAATAACTAATAACTCGGTTTAATATCACAAATTACAGACATTTTTAAAAGCAAACTATTTAATAGGGTATTTAATTAAAAGACTAAAATTTGCAAAGAGTAGGTTTCGAACCCAAGACTTAGAAAGAATAAGCAAACACTACATCCGCTGGACTACCAAGTATTATTTTGTTAGTTTGGTGCACTATAACATATTTAATTGTTCTTAAGTTTATACGAAAATCTCTAAATGCTCGGAATGTTTACACGTAGCTTTCGAAATTCTCGCCCCCCCCCCCCCCCCGAGAGCCTACCTAGCTCCGCCCCTGGTCCAACGACTTCCTTCCTTAAATGTATACAACGTTCACAATATAGTAAGTGGATTAATGACTCTTAGAAATGTTTACACAAATGCAGACTTAGTTAGTAAGATTTTTTGAACTCTTTTACAAATGTCTTGGAGACCAAAGGTAACCGCTATAGAAGAGTCAAAAGATCTTGCTAAGCTTGAATTAAGCTAGTTAATAGACTCTCTAACTACTCAAGAGAGTGTGTTAAGAATTGAGGAAAATGATCAACCTCGTAAGAGGAAGGATCTAGCACTCAAATCTCATATATTAGAAGATGAAGAAGAGCATATTGCATTACTTTCTAAAAGAAATCAGAAGTCTTGTGCAGATAATTCTTTAAATGACATGAGAAGGGACAGTAAACCTAGCAGTAGAAGTGAAATGAACAAAAATGTTGTAAATGTCGAAAATGGTACTGTCACTTGTTTCGGGTGTGAAAAAATGAGACACTTGAGATCTGACTATCCAAACAAAAGGTTCGATCAGGAAAGGGCTATGGCTACTACTTGGAGCTGCAATAATGAAGACTCGGATGAGTCAGATTCAGCAAAATGAGCATAAAGAGTATTGACTCTCGTTTAGGGATGGGCATTCGGTCGGTTCGGTTCAAACCAAACCGAAATTATGCATACCGGGTCCCCGAATTCTATCAAACCAAATTCGAACCGAATTATAATTCGGTTCGTTCGGTTCAAACAGAATTAGAATTCGGTTCGGTTCGATTTTTCATACAAAACCGAAATAGTGAGGTTAGCTTGTATCTTCTCTTTTTTAAATTATTTTTCATCCTAATGTAAACAATAAATATGCATCATCAATGATAAAATCAAACATTTCAACACATAAGTCATAAAATACTAACATGATTCAAATATTTAAGTCTCATAATAAGTAGAAACATAAAAATCCACCATTTAGAGCTTGCAATTATAATAATTCGGTTTTTCTTCGGAATTCGGAAATTCGGTTCGGTTGAAAGGACCCTGGTTTCCGAAATATGCTCTTTTCTCTTCCGAATTTCGAACCGAATAACATTAATTCGGTTTCGCTTCAGTTTATATTCGATTCAGTTAGGTTCAGTTTGGTTTTACTGAACCGTATGCCCACCCCTACTCTCATTGATAATATCATCTAGGAATGATGGCCAAGGAAACACCAAACATACAGGTAGTTCTTAAACCCCTTACATTCATGCTTAGACGATGACTAAGATGATTCACTGCATCATTCAACAAAAGGATCGAGAAGAGGAACAAATCACAGTCATGATATCAATTACAAATTTAGCCTATGTAAATTGAAATTTAATGATCTAAAGGGATTCATAGACGGAATACAACCACGTTAGACTTATAGCTCGAACAAGAAGTCTAGACATACATCAAAGTACAAAAACATCTATCATAAGTACTAACATGTTTTAGGTGTCAAGAATATGGGTATTACAAAAACGTGTTTGATAGCGTCATATTTGCACATGTTTGCACACTTGGTTCTAAACCATTTTAGCTTGGATTTGTGGTTCCTCGGCCTATTTTACGCTAGGTTTTGCTATTTTGTCACATTTCAGGTCCTATCATGTAAAGGAGGGCTTGGGTGCAAGTTTCAGGTCGTTTGGAGGACATGTGGGGTTCTGGAGACAAATTATCGTCGTACCCTGCACCAAATATGACCGTAATTCACAAATTACTATCGGTATTTTTTATGCCGAGCATGATGAAGGCTCAACTGAGAATCACAGTCAAGTTTCCCAAAAATACGACTGTATTTCTTCAACGTCAAACTCGTATTTTTATGGCCGAGACTAGCCCTTGAAGAATGCTGAAGGAAAGCAAATTACGAGCAAAAATACCGCCAGTGCTTTCAAAACACCGCCGGTAATTTTCAAAATACTTCTAGTATTTTCCCAGATGCGACTGTGGATTTCTGCATCTCAACTTGAGCAAAATGCGCGTTTTGGGCAAAATCCAGGCAGAGGTGAAATACAACCGTATTCTTGCCCGCATTTCATCCAGTATCGGGGTAAATAGGCAGTTTCGAGCCAAAAGAAGGAGATTCGACTTTTTGGAGCAACAGAGTTCTAGAATCCTAGGAGCTATTTGGAGTGGATTTCTCACAATTGAAGCCCATATTGCTTTTCCAGGAGTGAAGATTGACATCTCAGAGCAGATTATTATCATCTTTATGAGTATAACTGCTTTGATTTATGTTTTCCTCTCTCTCTATGGAGTAGAACTTTCTTTCACTTGGATATGAAGAACCTTAGTTCCATGTGTTAAAAAAAGAGGATGAGAAAATTGGGGTTGCAGGAAAATTGGGAGGAAGTGAAAATTTGAGAATAAAATAATGAGAAACAATAGTATTCTTTTAAAAGGAAAATGATCCAACAAGAGAAATGATTTTCATCCAAAATATCGGGCAATTGCTATAACTTTTTTCACCAAATAATCACTTATATATTGTTATTGGTATATTAATGAGTGATGTTTACAATTACTTAGCATCTCATAAAACACTTTCAAGGATGTAAACTGGGAGCACTCTATTGTTGGAGAGACACATCGATTTTTCCAACTCTTATATTCTCCTAATTTATAGAATTTCTTCTTGAGTGCTTTTTTCATTTGCGTTGCGAGTTTCCTACTTACTCTACAACTTTGTACTTTGAAGATTATTCCTTGATCACACATTGCGTTTGCTTCCGCTAGTGCTCTTTTATTCGGGGTACAAAAGTCTCACAATGGCAACAATATTTCATAAACCTCTCGTAATATACAAATTTGTTGCTCTTTGTGAGAAATAATACAACGGTAAATGAGTTATTTTGTTTATATTTTATTTTTATCGCGCCTGACACACAAATTCAAAATATCTTCTTCCGTCACTGTTAGGTTCAGTTAATAATTATGATCGATAGTTACAAATTCTTTTAACGTAAACAATTATAGTTAAAAATATCCATATTCCTACTATAATACAATACGGGAATCTTCGTGAAAATAAAAACCGTAAAAGATCCGAAGCGAAATCAAGGAGCAAGGAATCGGTTTCTTCCATCCCGTAATTCCTGCCCGCCTGCCTGCCCGCGACAATTAAGGGGAAACAAAAATGATATAAACAGAAACAATGCTGTATTAACATAATAAACAAATTAAATTATATATTACCTCAGCTCAGAGCTCACTGGTCTCGGCAATCCTCCGTCTAGGATCCCGCCACGTGCACCTAACGAGCTGTACTTACTTGTCCGCCACCACCATCCCCACCGTCCATCCCGACCCTTCTGACTGTTACTAATTAGTTAACAATAATCATCATCACTTAATAATTAGTACGTCATTTGTTTAACATTTTATTTTAATTAAATCGGCTATCTTTCTTTCCTGTTTCGAGCCCAAAAAGCCCAAACCCACCGTCGTTTCCTCTTTATCGCCATCTGCCGATCCCTATCTATTCCTTCCCCATCCTCTCTCTCTCTCTCCTCTTCCAAAGCTTCTCTTCTTCTCCTTCTCCTCCAATTCTCTCCTCTCTAAACCTCCATTCGCCAAACCCCAATAAATATTTTATTTAATTAAAAAAGCAACCCAGGCAGCAAAAGAAGCCAAAACGAGAGAAGGAGAGAGAAAGGGAAAGAGTAAAGGAGAAAGAAGAAGAAGAAGAGGAAGAGCTGAGTTTGCTCCTTCTCGGAATTGCGATTCCGTTCCCCTTACCCTGATTTCAATTTCGAATTTCTCTATTATCCCTTCTTCGGTTTCTGTAATGGAGCTCTTTCTCTTCCCTTCTCCTTTAGCTCTGTGAGAGAACAAATAGTGTGCCTGGAGTTTGGGAGGAATTGGCGGGGGACGACAATTGGATTCCTCCTTCCTCCTTCCTCTTGTTTGGTTTTGTGTTGTTTGTTGACAAGAGTTTTGTAGTTGAGAGGAGCATGGGGCTCTGCACCTCCAAACCCTCCACGGACAGGAGCATCCACGTCTCCTATCCCCCATCCGAGCCGCCGACCAACGCCGCGGCCGGCGACGGCGGAGCGGAGAGGCCGGATGCGTCGAGCGCGGACGAGAGCTTGACCTCCGATGATCAGAGGAGGAAGGAGAGGACGGAGCTGGAGAATGTCAAGAAGTCGCCGTTCTTCCCCTTCTACAGTCCCAGTCCAGCGCACTACTTCTTCTCGAAGAAGTCTCCGGCGAGATCTCCGGCTCCGAATGCTCCTACTGGGGGCAACACCACGCCCAAGAGGTTCTTCAAGCGACCCTTCCCCCCGCCGTCTCCGGCGAAGCACATACGAGCTGTTCTGGCGAGGAGGCATGGTTCGGTTAAGCCCAACGAGGCGTCGATCCCCGAAGGGAGTGAGGCGGATGGGATGGCTGCCCTGGATAAGAGCTTCGGATTCTCTAAGCATTTTGGGAACAAGTACGAGCTGGGAGATGAGGTTGGGAGAGGCCATTTCGGATACACTTGCGCAGCTAAATTCAAAAAGGGCGAGCTCAAAGGACAGCAGGTTGCCGTCAAGGTCATCCCGAAAGTGAAGGTAATAATAATAATGCCTCTCTTTGGCCGATCTTCGTTTTCCCCGTAGCGAATTTCACCCTTCGAATCCTTGTTTTTGGCTTTTGCTGTAGTCAACGACGAGTTGTTTTTGGCGTTTTGGACTCTAGATCTGCAGGTCTTATTGGGGTTTCTTGCACTTAATTTGTCCATTCACTTAGAAGAGTAATCTAAGTCTTGGTTCTCACTGGCTTTCTGGGGAAATTGCCAAAAGAGATGGGAATTGCTCGGTGAATTTTTTGGGTTCAGAATTGTACTAGGCAGACTGGGTTTTTGGTATGTTAGTATCCTACAGCACAGCCACAAGGAAGCAGAAACCGCCGTTTCTGGGTTTCCCCATCTTCAAGGTTCGAGTTCCTGAAAGAGATGGAGTGAAAAAGGCGGCTGATTACCCATCTCTGGTTGTGAGGCTCCCATGTTGCATGGAGACCTACTCATCTTTTGCCAGCAATTTTTTAGTGATTGGGGATGTTAATTCCCTTCTGCAACTTCTGAGAGAGAAGATCAGCTTGGGAATCTTCTGTTCATCTCTATTGCTGCCCTTTATTCTGTTGTCACTCCTGAAATATTTGTCCTTCCAATGTGCCCATGTACTCATACGTTCCACCATGCTATGACAGCAATCTTTGGATGTACCGTTTTCCTTGCTTGACTGGAATTGTACTGCTACAGTTCTCGGATGCTTCATTTGCTGACTATTTTTATTTATTTACCTTGTGTTTGTTAGATGACCACAGCAATTGCAATTGAGGATGTGCGAAGGGAGGTCAAAATATTACGAGCACTGACTGGACATAATAACCTAGTGCAATTCTATGACGCATACGAGGACAGTGATAATGTCTACATTGTAATGGAGTAAGTCCTTGTTGTAGCTTTGACTTTGTTTTCGTGTTTGTTGCAGATCATTCTTTTTAGTTCTTTATTGCTTATTTATGGGCTTGTACTGACTGTGTATTGTGATTTCTTGTCCATCTTCTTCCAGGTTGTGTGAAGGAGGAGAGCTTTTGGACAGAATTCTTTCCAGGTATTCCCCTCATACATTAACTATATTTGTTTCATTTTCCCCAATAAGTCTCTTCTTTAGCCATTTTTTCTGGTTTTGTTTTCATTATTTTTAAACTGAAGAAGAGAGATTCTGTTGTCAATTTCTAATCATGGATGCTGTTTTGCTTCAGGGGAGGGAAATATTCAGAGGAGGACGCAAAGACAGTAATGATACAAATATTAAACGTTGTTGCATTTTGCCATCTACAGGGTGTGGTACACCGGGATCTTAAACCTGAGGTGAAAGTTCTCTCTTTCTCGTGTAACTAGTACAATCTTATGGCCAATTGAATTCTCAAAGTGCTTATTATGTTGCTAGATATATCCTGCGTTGTGTCGGTTTTGTTAACACTCTGATTAGTAAAGAAGATTCCTAAGGGCAGAGTGCACCAGATATTGAATATCTGAAACTTGTTCTAGTCCGTATTTGCTTTCCTTTTCTTAAGGGGTCACGGGGAATGAGCTTTGTCCTCGCCTCAAAGAGAGAATATATACTTATATTATGCATCTTACATTGCTCCTGAAGATGTGGCTTTTACATACTTCATTTCAGGATTTAGGGCACTTAGTAGAATCTTTCTCTAGGATGTTGCAACCTGATTTGTTCTATATAGTATTTTTCACATTCATAGATCCCAAACTTCCTGACTGATGTTAATGAGTTTCTTGTTGTTGCAATTTGGCCAATATCTTGCTTCGATTCCCTCCTCTATTCATTTATTTGTGTCTAAGTGTGGTTAATTGATGGTTCAGAATTTCCTCTTCACTACCAAGGATGAGAACTCGCAACTGAAGGCCATAGACTTTGGTTTGTCCGACTTCGTTAAGCCAGGTCTGTCACTCAAAACACAAACTTGAACTATATCCTGGTTGTTTCTTTCTGTACCCGTGGTTGAATATGCCTCCTTATCTCAATGTGGTGCAGATGAGAGATTGAATGACATTGTTGGCAGCGCTTATTATGTAGCTCCTGAAGTTCTACATAGAGCTTATGGTACGGAGGCTGATGTATGGAGTATAGGTGTGATTGCTTATATTCTATTATGTGGCAGCCGCCCATTTTGGGCACGGACCGAATCTGGAATCTTTAGAGCTGTCCTAAAAGCCGATCCAAGCTTCGATGAAGCGCCTTGGCCATCCATGTCTCCTGAAGCCCGGGACTTTGTTAAACGACTACTGAATAAAGATCCTCGAAAAAGAATTACTGCTGCCCAAGCCTTGAGTAAGCGTAGTGACAACTGCCATCTGTCGTTTTTCACAATATTTTCCATCTGTTCTTATTGGTGTAACAACTATCTTCTTGTGCAGGTCATCCATGGATTAAAAGCTCTAATGATGTTATTAAAGTTCCCCTTGATATAATAGTATTCAAGCTGATGAAGTCTTACATGCGTTCGTCATCTCTTCGTAAAGCCGCTTTGAAGGTGCATTAACTTGATAAAAGCATGAATATCCATCCTTTTATTGGTGCATCAATTGCTAAATACTTCTCTTTTGATGCTGATTTTGGCAGGCGTTATCTAAAACGTTGACTGTGGATGAACTATTCTTTTTGAAAGAGCAGTTTGCTTTGTTGGAACCAAGCAAGAATGGGACAATAAGTTTAGACAATATCAAATCGGTTAGTTGCCTTTTTCTCAGATTGTTTGGAGAAAATCCTGTCCTCCACACCTTGATATTCATAAGTTTTTTTCCCCTCTTGGATAGGCATTGATGAAGCATGCGACAGATGCTATGAAGGAATCTCGGATCCCTGATTTCCTAGCATCGGTAGGTGGCTTGGTTGCTTGCTGTAGTATTGTTTTATTTAAATATTTAACAAAAGCTTGTTTTGGGGTGTCGTTTCAAGAAACTCATCCTTTTGATTTACTGTTAATATGTGTGGGATTCAGCTGAATGCACTCCAGTACAGAAGGATGGACTTTGAAGAGTTCTGTGCAGCTGCATTAAGTGTCCATCAGCTAGAGGCTCTTGACAGGTGGGAGCAACACGCTCGTTGTGCCTACGAGCTTTTTGATAAGGATGGGAACAGGGCCATTATGATTGAAGAACTGGCATCGGTATGTTGCTTGAATAAGTTGGATTAGAGAAATTGGTTTGTTTTAGCTTTAATTAATGCCGACTTTCCTTTCGAGTAACTGTTATTTATGCCGAAACAAGCATACCCTATGCTAAACTGAGAAAACTGATTCTGCCTGTGCAGGAGCTTGGCCTCAGCCCATCTGTCCCTGTCCACGCAGTTCTGCATGATTGGATTAGGCACACCGACGGGAAGTTGAGCTTTCTGGGTTTTGTGAAGTTGTTGCATGGTGTGTCTAGCCGGACGTTTGTGAAAGCTCAATAGCAGCAGCAGCAGCAGTTACTGGAAATGAAAAATCCAACTCTCGAGTTCCTCCACAGGCACGGCGTGTTATTTTTCCATAAAACTCAGAACCTGGCTCTGGAGACATTGCCTGGCACACCGACTGGTAAATTTTCACTCTGCGATTCAGGAATCTGTTACATGTGTTTGGGTAGTCGATCTCTTTGCCAAAGAAATTGGGGGGGTTGGTGTTTTGGAAGTTGCCAGTCAATGTAAAGTTGTAGTTAAGAAAGTAAAAACATAGGGGAAGTTTGTGTGTTAAGAAGATCCTGCTGAAAGGAAAGGAAACCCTTATTCACACCCTCACCACCAAGCCCAATGTGTCCACCCATCATCATGATTTGTGAAGAGAAGTTTTAATATTCATCATTGCTTTGCTCTGCCGTTTTAGCACTGTTCTAGTCAACAAAGTGTATTTGTCTCAGATCCCTCTGGTCTCTCTCGCCCTCTGGTGTTCTACCTTTCCTTCTTGCTTTCTTATTCTGATTGGATCTCGATGGGCAAAGCAAAAGCCATCAATGTCCACCATATTGGAATGGGAAATCCTTCCAAAAGCTGGAAAAGGCTGCTTCGAGATTGCCCACTGAAAGACTTGCGCTTAAAGAATAAGGCAAAAAAGGAAGGGTGGTGGGTTCAATGTTCTTCTTCCTCCACTCTGCTAATTTAAAGGGATCATTTCAGATTAGGGGTGTACAATGGTCTGCCGGATCACATTGGACCAAACTGAATTTGGACCGGACCGCATTGGACCGAGTATATTGCGATTTTATCTTTGGTCCACTTGAATTTTACAATTATTGAATAAATGATGGACCGAACTGATATTTGGACCGGACCAAACCGGATCAAATGGACTGAATGCAATGATGATCCGGTCCTTGGTCCTACGATGTTTTTCACTAATGGACCGAGGTTCTCATAAGTTTGGTCCAGAGCAAACCGAACCATTTGCACACCCCTAATCTGAAATGATGCTTTCATAGGAACCAATTTTTTTGGATTCTGGTTTAATGGATTTGATTGTGATATTTCAACAAACAGGTCGGTATGGTACCGGAAATTAATAATATAGGAGTTTTTTCTAATTGTTTTGACAATCGACAAGGTTTCTTTTATTAAAATGTGATGAGAGTGATGTTCCAGAATCAGTCAATATAGCCACGCCAACTTGTGGAGCGAGTCGTTGGGAGTAAATTTACAACTTGCATTTCCCTAATCAGTCAATATAGCCACGCCAACTTGTATTTCCCTATTTTGGATAGTAACTTTTGTCATTAATCAAGTTCAAGTATTGGTTGTCAATAGTAAGGAACCATGCAAGATCCATCTTGGAATGTATTTTACTAAGTCAAGTTATTACAAATAATATCAGAACTTCACTGATTATTAAGGGTATATTATGTGTTAAGTTCAACTCCAAGTAAGTGCCAAAGAGGATCATTTAAGGACATTGCATCTTTCACTGTTAGAGGGGCACTGCCATTGGTCCATATTCTGTTTCACACAATGTCTTATAGTCCTTGCTTGCAATGTAGTTAAAAGCGAGTTTCTACGTAGAAACGTTTTGGTGATCTAGAAGCGCAAAATCGTAAATTTCTAAGTTTTAAAGCAGAGTTTTTAACTACATAAGTTATAAAAACTGAGATTTTGTGTAGAAGCGTTTTAGTGACCTAGAAACGTAAAATCGTAAGTTTTTAAATTTTAAAACGCGATTTTGACTACATTGCTTCCTTGCACATCGTTTCATCTTCTTCCTCCTCCCCATTGGTTAGTGAAAAAAAGAAAGCCGGGAGAGCCCCTGCTTTTTCTTGCCTAGATGCTCTACAGGAACCATTGAAATTGAGGCTACTGGAAAACAAGCCACTGGAAAGGCCCTGGAGATGGCTTCTCTGAGCAGTTCCTAGGCATACCCAAGAACCAGAATCTCGACTATAAACAAGAATGGAAACAAGCAGCGAGAATCAACTTCATGGCCTTGAGACTTGAGTTAGAGTTGACGAATTTCAACTTCAATAACATCCTATTTGCGGTCCGAATACGCCGTCAACATTAGTTTTGTAATTGCCATTGGTCCTCTTTTTTTTGTATCCTCTTGCTTACTGCAAACTTAATATGAGGTCAACTCCAGAGTAGGTTTCTCGCATGACGACTACCAATCCACTTGAGGTTTTGTAGAAACGTGTTTGGACTCATCTGTACTTTATTTAGAGTTGGAGGACTAATAGTGTTTTAGTAGCAGTAACCCTAGCTTCGTGAGACATATATATAGCCTCTAATAGGCTGCGGCATTGTATGATGTAACCGAGCAACTTTGTGCTCGTCATAGTAAACAATCCAGAGAACACACGTTCTTCTCTGGTGTCTCGTCTTACTTCGATTTCTATTCCGTTGTGATGCCACAGTAAAAGGCTGGTTGAAGACAGCGATGAGCAAAGAGGTCTGTAACAGTGTCCGGGGAGCGAGGACAGCGCGCGATATCTGGTGTGACTTGCAAAAGCGGTTCGAGACTGGATCAGCGACCCCGCGCGTATGAGTTGCGGCGGACGCTTAGCTCCTTGCGTCAAGAGAAACAAAGTGTTTCCTCCTTCTACACGAAGCTGTGCACCTCTTGGGATGATGAGCTTCAAGCTGTCAGTCTCAACCCCGAATGCAATTGCGGTAATTGTACCTGTGATATTGCTGGACAAACGCGCGCCAAGCTGGATGCTGAGCACTTGTTTGAGTTTCTCCTTGGCCTTGATGATGTATTTTCTGTGGTGAGGTCACAAATACTGAGCATGAAGCCCATGCTTATCCTTGCCGAGGCCTACCAATTGGTTTCCTCGGAAGAACAGCAACGGCACATTACGGGTGCGCGTCGGCCAGTTGTGGAGGCAACTGCGTTCCACACTAACAAGGAGAAGAAAGTTGAGGAAGATCAGCCTCCACGATGCTCTCATTGTAATAAACTTGGGCATACCATCGACTCTTGTTACAAAATCATCGGCTATCCCGGTGAACAAAACAAGACTCGTCAAGGCGATCGCAGTGGCAGTGCTGGGGGGAGTTCGTGGCGTCCTAAAGGAGAGGGGAGGCATAATCCGCGAGCTGCTAAAGTGGATGGAGAGGAGAGCCCGATTCCCAGGCTTAGTGCGGCTCAATTTGCATCCCTAAAGGTGTTTTTCTCAACACTAGCGCCTACTTCAAGCGAGTCCACTGCTCATATGGCCAGTAACACCCCTGATCTTTCTGAATGGATTGTTGATTCAGGCTGCAACGAACATATAGTTCGTGATTCACGTTGGTTGAGTATTGTAGATTTTGTGGGTCCTCATTCCCCTATTCGTATTCCGGTTGGTGCTAGTATCCCAATTCAGGGGGTTGGTTCTTTGGTTTTGAATGCCCACATCACACTTAACAGAGTTCTCCATATACCAACGTTTAAATGCAACTTACTTTATGTTAGTCGGTTGGCCAAAGATCAAAATATTGGGGTCCTTTTGTTAGCTGATCTCTGCGTCCTACAAGACTTACGCTCCAGGACCATGATTGGACTGGGGCATCTTCGTGATGGGCTCTACTATCTTTAGCGGGGTGAGGACTTGGGACGTCGCAGTCATGACAACCCTTCAGTTTTTGCTGTCGCTAGAAGAACCTCCACGGAGACATGACATTCTCGATTGGGGCACCCCTCCCTCTCGAAGTTATCTTCTTTGAAACATGTTTTTATCATTTTCAGATTCTAGTACGGACCTCAGTCATTGTGATGCTTGCCTGCGTGCAAAAATGACTAGAACGCCCTTTGTTTCTCAGTCTATCAAGACCAGTAGCTGTTTTGAGCTTGTTCACTGGGATATTTGGGGTGGTTATCGCACTCCTTCTATGGATGGTTCTCATTATTTTTTAACTATTGTTGATGATTACAGTCGAGCTACTTGGGTCTACTTGCTTAAGTTTAAATCAGATGTCGAGCGCCATCTACTACAGTTTTGTCAGATGGTTCAGACTCAGTTTAATCGTTCAGTTCGTAGATTACAGGCGGATAATGGTTTGGAGTTTCAAATAGGGATTCCGAGGGATTATTTTGACGCTAATGGGATCATACTGCAGACTTCGTGTGTACACACTCCCCAGCAGAACGAGGTTGTTGAACGCAAGCACTGCCATTTGCTTAAAATGGCCCGTGCTCTTCGTTTTCACTCTGGTTTACCAGTTCAGTTTTGGGGGGAGTGTGTTGTGATAGCCAGTTATTTGATTAATCGCCTTCCGTCTCGGCTTCTCCTGGATAAAACCCCTTATGAACGCCTACTTGGCCGCCCCCCTTCTTATGTTCATCTGCGCAGTTTTGGCTGCTTGGTTTATGCCAAAGATACCCGACCTGGTCTCGACAAGTTCGTCGAGAGGGGGAGACCTTGTGTGTTTGTTGGTTATCCGGCTACTCAAAAAGGTTATCATGTTTACGATCTTCAGTCAAGGCGAATTTACTCTTCGCGGGACGTGCATTTCGTCGAGACAGTTTTCCCGTTTCGAGAGAAAACATCACCGCAAGTATCCTCGATGAAAGACTCTATTTCGAGAGATTTACCAACATTTGAGGACGACGAGGAACTAGTGGAGAAGAGGCTAATTCAGGCGGATCATAATGAAGATGATGAAGTGGATTTTGTTGCAAGTGATATGGCGAACAGGAACCTAACTTGCATGGGGAAGTCTTATTCCCTCACGATGGTGATGATAGTGGAGGACAAGAGCCCACCCTTGATGAGACGCAAGCTGGTGGTGACACCACCGCCAATGCTCAACCCGAAGTTCAGGCTTTGCGGCTCAGTGATAGAAACAGACGACAGCCACCTGGCTTGATGGAAGCTTATGATGTGGAGTTACATGGCCAGCCACGTGATGAGGCGGCAATGACATATCCTATGCCGAACCACGTCAACTATGATCAGTTCTCACCTTCACATCGGGCTTACGTCGCTGCAATCACCAAATAGACAGAACCAAAGAGTTTTGCTGAGGCAGTCAAACACGCTTGTGGGCGTGAAGCTATGCAGAAGGAGATAGCGGCCTTAGTGGCCAATGAACGTGGACTTTGGAATCCTTGCCATCTGGTCTGAAAGCGATTGGGGCAAAGTGGGTTTACAAAATTAAATACAGGGCAGACGGCTCAGTTGAGAGGTACAAAGCACGTTTAGTGGCAAAAGGGTTTACACAATTGGAAGGAGTCGATTTTCATGACACGTATGCACCAGTAGCCAAAATAGTTACTGTTCGGGTGTTGCTGTCAGTAGCAGTAAAACGTGGATGGGATCTTCACCAGTTGGATGTAAACAACACCTTTCTCCATGGCGATTTAGAAGAGGAGGTATACATGCAGATACCGCAGCGGTTTGGTGCTCCGGGATATAACCGAGTCCGCAGATTAAGGAAGTCAATCTATGGTTTGAAACAAGCTTCATGGAATTGGTAC